AAATAGGTTTTGGCATGTGTAGATGGATTCAGTTTCAACATACTGAATTTGAGGTGCCTGTGAAATCGCTGCAAGGAGATATATGTAGTTAGTTGGACACATTTATAAGTCTATGTCTCTGGTAAGCTATTTTAGAAGTTGTTTAAGGATGGCTTAAAGGAGGTCTCTTCTTTAGAGCAGGTAAAAGGAAAATGTGTGAGCAAATGATCTGAAGCTGATGTAAATGAAGGACAGCTGGGGATATAGACTGGACTCCAGGGAATGCTAATGGAAAGTTGGGGGAATGAATTTTATTTCAAAGATATGCTGAAAAAGCAGTTACTTCAAAAGATTTTTTAAAGTTTAGAATGTACCCATGAAGAATGAAGTATAAAAGGTTTTAAAGGGGGAAAATTTGGCCAAGACGAAGATGATTTTAGTGAAATATAAGATGTAGTTCTGACTTAAGAGGATATACACTCAGGGTAAATGTTCTTTAGTTCTAATTAGACAACTGATTGCCATTCATATCAGAGTCTCTTTAATGTAAAGATGCTAGAAGAGCCTCTTAGGCTTAGCCAAACTGACATTATTGAATAATATTAAACCTTAATTATTAAGAAATTTTTTTCTTTTTCCTTCTTTCTCTATACCCCTCCCTCCATCTTTCCTCCTTTTCTACTCTCCCATCATTCCTACCCAGGAGGAAGCTAGGATGAAATGTTTAGCTAAATGAGACATAAAATGGGAAAAGTGTTTTTCTTTTTAAAATGATTAGGTAACTTGCAGGGTAAAAAATCATTTTAAATGATTTCTAAGTTCCAAGTTAATAACTTTGTGTAAATTTAATTTGCATAGGATTTAATAAATAATGCTTAAGGTTATGTATGTTTTCCTTAGTGACTATTTTTTGTGAAGCATTAAATAATTTTTAAAATTTTTACTAAACTATCGTATATCCACACAATGAAATACTATGACTAATGAAGAAGAATAAAGGTCTCTGTTTTTTTTTTTAATTATTGTCTAAAGTTTTACATATGTCTCCTTTTTCTCCAACTGCCACCCACCCCCTCGAACCCCCCAGCCATTTCCCCCCCCCTAGCAGGTCCCCATCGCCCCAATTTCTGAGTCCATTGGTTATGCTAATATGCATGCATACAAGTCCTTTGGTCATTCTCTTACCCCCCCTCCCCTACCATTTGTCTCTAGATCAAATTATGTTGATCATTATATCCCACATATTAGTGAGATCATGTGATATTTATCTCTAGTTCCATCCATGTTGTTACAAATGTTAAAAGTTCCTTCTTTTTTTTTTTTTTTTTTTTTTTTTTTTTTTTTTTAGAGGCATAGTATTCCATTGTGTAGATGTACCACAGTTTTCTAATCCACTCATCTGCTGATGGGCACTTAGGCTGTTTCCAAATCTTAGCTATGGTAAATTGTGCTGCTATGAAAATAGGGTGCATATAATAATATATCCTTTCTGATTGGTGTTTCTGCTTTCTTGGAATATAATCCTAGAAGTGGGATCACTGGGTTAAATGGGAATTCCAGTTTTAATAAAGGTCTCTATTTCAGAAAGAGATTATCAATATAAATTTTTAGATGATAAGTAACACAGTATTTAGTTTTCTATAAGAAAGAGAAGATAAGATTACATTGTGCAACACAGTGTGTACAGTATGCTGTCTTTTCTATTAAACAGAGGGTAATAATACATTTTTATTTGCTTAGACTGTATTAAGAAACACTGGAAAATGCATAAGAAATTAATACACTTACCAATAAGGGTTAGAATGAGGAGGTATACAATGGAGGAAGACAGGTGGGAGTGAGACTTCTCAATGTCTATTGTGTTATCCTGTTTTCATGTTTAAATCTTGTGAATTTCCTTTCAATACAAAAAGTAATTTTTAAAATATTTTAAATGTATTGCTTGTGTTTTTTATAAACTGAAAAGTCACATGGTTGTAAGCACTACCAATTTTTTTTCATTCATTCATTGTTCATGTGTATCTAGTGTGGTTGATGCTACAATAAAGTAGGACTTAAATAATTCTTATTAAGGGCTAACTTTGTGGGCAAATGAGAATGTAAGGTAATCACTATGGAGCACTAAATGTCATAAGAAAGGCTTGGCCATTGGAAGGATCAGTGAAAACTTTAGGTAGGGATTAGCATTTGAATTGTTTTTTGAGTAATTGGAGAAAAATGGGAAAATTAAGAGAATTTTAGGTGGGGGATAAACAGAGGCACAAACATGGAAAATTATAGGACTTGCTCCAGTGAATCTTTGCTTTTGACAAGCAATATGGATGACAGTTATCCTTGAGAATAGCTGTGGTCTTGTAACCTTTCAAGAAATTAAAATATTTTGGTGAAAGCCAGTTGTTGTTACCCTGTTTGTCATTGGCCACATCTGCATTGAAATACTTGTGAAAATATACAGTGTCAGTAGCACCTGAACTAGGAATATGTACAGTGTGGGGAATTTTTATTTTTATTTATTTATTTTTAAAATATATTTTATTGATTTTGATCAGAAAGGAAGGGAGAGAGATAGGGAGTTAGAAACATCGATGAGAGAGAGTCATGCACACCCCCTACTGGTGATATGCCCACAACCAAGGTACATGTCCTTGACTGGAATCGAACCCGGGACCTTTCAGTCCCCAAGCCAACGCTCTGTCCATTGAGCCAAACCGGTTTCGGCGTGTGTGGGGAATTTTTAAATAGCAATATATTTTGATATAATTTTACGCAGAAAAGTTGAGTGATTACAAAGACCATATATATTATATATTACTTACATATTTTTTTCTGAACCATTTGAGAGGAAAGTTGGAAATTTTATGCCCTTTTACCTCTATCATTGGTACATATTTCCTAAGAATTTTCTTTCATAATTACAGTGTAGTTATCAGAATCAGGAAATTTTACATTGATTCAATATTATCAACCTACAAGCCATTCTTAAAAGTTCGTTAATTGTCACATAATGTACTTGATAGCTGATATTCCTCAACTCCAGGACTAAATTTAGGTTCATACTTTGCATTTAGTTGTCATGTCTTTTTATTCACCTTTAATGGGGAACCATTCCTTACCAGGGGTCCTCAAACTTTTTAAAGTGGGGGCCAGATCACGGTCCCTCAGAGAGCTGGAGGGCCGGACTATATGAACTACTAATTCCTACTGTAACACCTCGGCTGCGCTCACTGCCCAAAAAACCTGGCGGGCCGGATCAGACTCCTCTGCGGGCCGCATGTGGCCCGCGGGCTGTAGTTTGAAGATGCCTGCGTCTTTTTAAAACTTTATTGATGTTGACATTTTTGAAGAATAGGACATTTATAGGATGACCCTCAATTTGAGTTTGTCATATGTATTCTCATAAGTAGATTTAGGTCATGCTTTTTTGACAGAAGTACCTTCAATGTGATCTTTGTCTTCCATGCATGATTTCAAGATCACACAATTTTGTTTTGCTTCAGTATTGGTGATGTATGTCAGATCATATCATAGAGTTACTATTATTTTTACTTTTTGTAATTAATCAATAATTTGGGGAAAATATTTCAAACTATGTTCTTTATTAAACTTTCACCTTTTAATTTTATAATCTGTTGCTGATTCTCTTAACTCCATCATTCTGTCTGCATTAGTTGGCATACTATTGTAGGAAAGAACTTTCTCCTTTTCTTTTTACTTTATTTATACCATTATGGAATTATTGGTTCTTTTTTTCCCCCTCCTTACAAAACTTTTATTAATACCAGAAATGAAATAGTAAAATCACAATGATTTTTTTTTAACATCAGTATAATTGTGGGTACAAAGATGGTATGAATGGGACTCAGGAGGCCTTGAGAAGAGAAAGCGGGCCTTTGGGGAGTGTTCAATCTCAAGTCAGACCTAAACACGTTGATTTGGTTGATCCTTGCTCCACAGATGATTCTTAACTTTATTCAATGGATTACATAATCCATGGCTACCATTATTTTGATGCCTAGATAACTCTAGATATGGCCAAATGACTTATCATCAAACAAGTTTTGTGTTCTTTTAACATTTATTTATCATTCTTTCAGTATTTTTTCTTTTTTTTTTTGGTGCAAAATTTTGTTTTTTGATTCCCTTGCATTTTCTGTGCTTCAGGCCCTGAATCAGCCTTTCCTCCTAGTATCTTTGGATTTCTTTCCATCTTCAGAAACAGCATGGCCAATTAGGGCCTTCTCAGTTTGCATTTTTCTGACAATTTTTCCATAGTCTTCCACTTTTAAGGCTACATGATTAGATTGGATCCATTCAGATAACCCAGGATAATTTCCCCATTTTGGATTCTTAATATTAATCATATCTGCAGAGTTTCTTTTACCATCTAATGTAGCACATTAACAGGTTCTGGAAATTAAGATGTGGACATCTTTGGGTTCCCATGCTTCTGCCTACCCATGTTACAGACAGTGATACTACTGATGCCTGATTTTGCTAAATCATTTTTTTGTTTTGTTTAGAATACCTCCTACCTTAACCTCTTTGACTCAGTAAATACAAAAGAGGTGTTACGATTCAGAGTCATAATAGTATTATATTAGATATAATATCTGTAAGTAAATTATAAGGGCAACCGATTCTAGAAATAACTAATATATATATATATGTATATATATATGTGTGTGTATATGTATGTATATATATATGTGTGTGTGTATATATATATATATATATATATATATATATATATATGCTCTCAGAGTATTCCTTTAAAAAATAGAAAATTTTTATTTCTGAGTTTATATTAACTGGTCCTAATCCATAGTATTAAAGTTCATACTAGTAGTTATTCACACATAAACAGGAAGTAAACTATTACAAGTAATCAGTAAAGAGTCTCTTAATTTAGTATAAGAACATTCCAAAATAGATACTCATTCAGAAAAATAAGTGATAATAATTTATATGAATTTGATAATGAACAACATTGCGTATTAATGTGTTATTTCTTTCCTACCTAGATCATCACAAAGTATGTATATGAGCTTCTGGAAAAGGACTGTAATTTGAAAAAAATATCTATACCAGTAAGTCCAATTTTTTAAAATCTTTATACTTCTAAATAAAATAATTTTCAATTCAGAAGAAAATTTTTGTTTTAGGTTAACTGTAATAAGTTTAAATATTAAGGTCCTTGTATTTTGATATTGATAAAGATGATATTGAATTCCTGTCAGTATTTCTCATTATGTACAGTAGTTCCTAAAAAGTAAAAATCTTCAGAACTATTGTGCACAATGAGATGAGGTATTCTACAAAATAGACACGGTATATTAGGTACAAATGTGGAATATAGCCAGTGATATTGTAATAATTGTGTGTGGTACCTGGTGGTACTTGAATTCACAGAGGGGAGCACTTGGTAAGGTGTATGATTGGCCACTAGGCTGTGTGCTGAAACTAATACAGAATAATGTTGAATGTGAACTGTAATTGAAAAAGATAATAAAATATAAGTAGGTAAGAAACACTAATACCCACCTTAAAAAAATAAGATTGATTTCCACCCTTTTTTGAAAATAATAATGTAATTAGAAGGAACACCCTTCTCCACCTTTTCCCATTTACTGATATAATTTATTATTATTTATTTTAAGTGAGGTGGTACACTGAAATGACCTTTATATGTATGTATTCCTAATGAAAGCTCAGCTTAATGAATTACTATTGTTTGAAGATAAATGGAAGCTGGGACAGCCATTTCTAAACTTTAGTTAATGAAGAAAAAAATATGTTATTCATTACATAGAAATTTTACTAATAGAAATTATCATTAACTTTATACAAGTAAGTTATAGTTACCAACTGCAAAGTCAGAGTTCTGTGTTAAACCGATATACTAGCCAATAACCAGCTCAAATACTACCCTTACTCCTTAATCTCTAGTACCATTTTAATTCAGTTTCATTACCTTGAATTTTCTAATGTTCTCATACTTTTAAAGTTAAAATTTCAAGATGTTGAAGTAACATGGCTTATTCATGGATACCTTAATTTATATTATATTAAATTATATTCGTTATAATGAAAAAAACCCACATTTTTATCTTCTGAAAAAAAGTACTTTTCCAGTTTTGAAGTGATTAATGTAGAATTTAAGTTACCAAGATTTCATTCCTTAAAAAATTGACTGAATTTCTTGGTAATGGGATTTAGTCCAAATAGAAGAAAACAACAACAAGCAAACAACAAACAAACAAAGTGTTTGGCCCAGACTGACAATCCAGAGCTAAGACACACAGATGTCCGTTTCCACAGCATCCTGGGCTCCTTAAGGCTTCCCTGATTTTCAGAGGCATTTTTATTTGTACATGTTTAGAGGTTTAGAGGAACCCTTTGGTAAATGCATGGCTAGAAACCTCCATGGCCTCTTTTTTATTACACACTGACAACTTTGCTTTTTATTTATTTTATTTTTTCTTATCATCATTTTCCTGTTTTGTTTTTGTTTTGTTTTGAGCCACTTTAACTTAGTCATTTCTCTGTTTTTATAATGGTTTTAAGTAAATTGGAATTACCTACGTTAGGTTTTCTGCCTTCTCTCATCCTCTTCCTTTTCTCTGTGGCTTCGATCATACCTGCTGTCACTGTAATTTGTTTACTCAGGACATCTCATGGAACTGAAGTGAAAGTGATTGTTATACTTCATAGTTCTCTCTCTGCATATTTAGTTACTACTAATAAAGATACAGTTACATATTTTATTTCTTAGCAAGTGTAGCTCTTTTAAAACTTTATAATTATGTACTAGTTTAATATTTAATATATATTTTCTGAACCAGGCAAGTTAAAACCAGTTATAGGATGCATTGTTAAATACCTTTTATTTAAAGAAAGTCACTGGCGATGCTTGATAAGATTACTTATTCCAAAAGTTTATTCATTCCTTTATTTACAGAGTGCCTACAATATGCTGTCTCTCTGTAACGCATTGGGAACGTAGCTAGATACCAACAGGAAAGTTTGTGCCTTTCTAAATTACATTCTAGTGGAGGAAGCAGAAGGTTAATAAACAGTTATGTGAACAAATATATAAAGTAAAGCATACAATTTATTAGATTGTGGCATGTGCTATGGAGGAAAATAAAAGAGAGAACGGAACTAGAGAATTCTTGGGATATTAGTTAGGAAGGCTTTACTTAAATTAAAAAAGTGGAATTTTTTCTTAATCTCTGTGACCATCCTTTTCTTGATGAAATAATTGCCTTTTGTGCTCTGTTTACATGAGTTTCTAAGCCTCTGTTATATCAATCTGATTGTTTTAGAAGTAGAGGAGTTTTATTTTTCTCCTCCCAGGAATAGTGACTGGGAATATTTGGAATCCAGGGTATTTTTGGTATCTAGAGTTTTTGTTTATTTCCTATTTTGATAACTGTATGGATGTATACCATTGATGAAGTAAAGAACTATTGAATTACTTAGCAGGTGGATTGACCCTCTCTATTCAAGAGTGTGTACTACCTGCCGTCAAGACTGTAGTTTCTGTCTCTGACCAGGCTGCATAAAGGCTTCCATTCCTAATTACTTACCACTACTGATGTGGAATGTCACTCACTGCCTGCCATGGAGCATATAGTTAATGACTGGGGCGTCATCCCTTCATAGTCTAAATAGTCTATCATCTAGTTTAAACCTAAATTTTAAGTATAATCAAAATGAATAAAAGTGTTTACGTTTCATCCATAAATAACTGGTACATAAAATAAGGTTATCAGAGTACACAAATAATATTCCCTTATTAAATAATTATTATATAACCTTATATTCATACTCTGAATGAAATTTTAAAGTCCATTTACATTGAAAAGTAGATTTTTGAATTTTTAGTAATAGTTTCCTCTCCACCTTTTAAAAGTTTAGTGGTATTTGTATGTAATATATGATTTTCCAATAGGTGTATCCTTCAACTGGGTCTTTCTGTTTCTATTTTAGGTGCAGTATTCTTCTATTATAGAATTATAGACTTAATAGCTCTGTGACCTTAGGCAACTTATTTAAATTCTCTTAATCTCAATTTCTTCATCTATAAATGAGTATAATAATAGTACCACCTTAATAGTATTGTGATTGAATATTTTAAAAACATTTTGCCTAGAATCTAGACAAAAATCAGTTATTCTTATATACAATGACATTTAATACCCTATATAATAAAAGCCTAATATGCTAAGTGTCTGGTCATGCGATCAGCTGTTCAACAAATCAAAGCGTAATATGCTACTGATATGCTAAGGCCACTCAACTGTTCACTATGACATGCATTGACCACCAGGGGACAGACACTCTGACCAGTAGGTTAGCTTGCGCTGGGGTCTGGCCGATTTAGGACTGAGTTAGATGGGCTGGACACATTCTGGAGCCCTCTCATAGACCCTGGCCCTGATTGTGCACCAGTGGGGTCCTTCAGGCTGGCCTGCATCCTCTTGCAATCTGGGACCCCTTGGGGAATGTTGGAGAGTCAGTTTGGCCCTTTTCCACAGGCCAGGCCAAAGGATCCCACTGGTGCATGGATTCACGTACAACAATAAGGTAGGATACATATATTTCCAATATTCTTTTTTCATATTTTTATACTATCATGTCTTTTTTTACTCATCTATTGTATATGTAATTATTACTCTCTAATGAATATTTTAATTTTATTTTAAACTTTTTTACTCCTATAATCCTGTAATAACCATTTTATAATTTCTAGTAAGCATTATTTGTTTGTTTGTTTTTTCATTTCTATTTATGCTTGATCAGAAAACATATATTTATTATTTAACTTTCTTTAATTACAGGTAGATGCCTCTGAGAGTGAACCAAAGAGTTTTATCTTTATGAGTGAGGATGCTTTGACAAATCCACAGAAACTGATGGTTTTAATTCATGGTAGTGGTGTTGTCAGGGCAGGTCAGTGGGCTAGAAGGCTTATTATAAATGAAGATCTGGACAGTGGCACACAGATACCATTTATTAAGAGAGCTATGGATGTAAGTGTACTTTCTTTTATATTTTTTCGGAGGGGGGTCATTTTATAGCTTTGCTTTATTATGTTTATAATTTATTTTAACATGTTTCTTCTAACATATCTCCTATACATATTTTTATCCTTAAATTGTTATTATTTATTTATAATGAAAAATTATTCTGCATTATTTTGCAGTTAGAATAAAAACAATATCTTAAGTGTATAAAAATTTAGATAATGTCCTTGAAATGAATATTTTTTATTCTTAATTTTTTGTTTATTATTTGAAATATCACTTAAACTATCAACTACTTATCAATAAGATTGAAATACTGGGAAAAAAATATGACTGCTTTTTAAATCTTGTCCTACCTAGTTTAATAATGTTAGAAACTAAAGGAAATATGCTACTTTAAATTAATTTTTATTCTTTTAAAGAAGAGATGGAATAACTCAGTATTTTTAAAGTTATTTCTTTGAAAAATATTCTTTAGAGGCACATATAAAATGCCTTTAGCATATAACATACATACAAAAGGGTAAATTGCAGTATTTACTGAATTACTTTTTTAAATTTAAACCTTTTAGAAATTGCTTTTTAAAAATCGTGTTTAAGTTTTTCTTTTCTATAATAGTGAAATTGGTTTTCTTTTTCTGGCCTAGTATTCAATATCTAACTGTTAGGCTGCTTTTGTTTTACTGACTTATTCTTGGGCTCTGTTGAATAGCCAAATTTTGTACAGTATGGATTTCTTTTACATATAAGTTGAGTTTTGTTTAAGAAAAAAATTAAAGTGGCATCTTGTATAATGTAAAAATATAAAATTTATTTTTGTAATTACAATTGGGAAGGAATTCTTTGATACACTGATTATTAATTACAAAGGTCAAAGATAATATATTTTCTACTTTGTTAATTCTGAAATGTTAATACAGTTGACCCTGTAACAATCTGAGCATTAGGGCCACTGTTGCCCCATGCCTGTCCTGTGTGTAGTCGAAAATCTGTATATAACTTTTGAATTACTCAAAACTTAACTATTAATAATCTACTGTTAACCAAAACCTTACCTATAATATAAACAGTTGCTTAACACATATTTTGTATATTATATGATTTATATACTGAATTCTGACAATAAACTAAGCTACAGAAAAGAAAATACTATTAGGAAAGTTATAGGAAGAGAAAGTACTTCATTCACTACTATACACATTTATTGAAAAAAATTCACATATAAGTGGATCTGTGCAGTTCAAGCACATGTTGTTCAAGGGTCTACTGTATTTTTAAGGCCCAACCCAACTCTTAAATAATATTTTGATTAATAGATTTTGAGGCTTTTAAAATGCTAGAGGTAGAATTTCTTAGATGAATTGTATATATTTTTTTCAGTCTTTATGAATATGCAAAGAATATAAAGGCATTCCTACTTTTGATTGGTTGCAAACTTCAGTGGTGTGGTTTTAGTAGAATTGAACTAACTAAAAATATCGAGTTTTATTTTGGAGTAACTCACATGAAATATTATTTAAACTGTTTCATACTTCAGGATATGAATAATAAATGATATTTCTGACAAAGTAGTTTGTGGTTAGAACAAACCCTGTTGATGTATTTTAACATTATATTAGTACATGAAAACTGATCATAATTCAGAGAATATTTGAACGTTTAATTTAGTAAAGAAAATCAGATGTTTGTATGTTTGAGAGCTAAGTGAAATATGTAATTATATTGTTCCTGCTACTATATCAATTAATTTGTTTTTATTGTTGCATAAAGTTTTTTGAGGTGAAAGGTGTTAGTGGGAATTCATACCAAACATCTTTGAATTGACTATCTGTTAATATCCCAAACAGGAGGGAGCAAGTTTGTTGGTGACATGAGAATAGTTCTTATAAGTAGGAATAGTGTTTTGGGGATAGCATTTCATTACCCTGACCTTTTTTTTTTTTTTTTCTTTTCTCAATCATAGCAACTCATGATTCCTTGAAAAAAATAAAATAAAAAGCAGCTGATTTCTAAATACTTTTTTAGTATTTACTATATTCATTATGTTGTATACTTTGAAAATTTTAATTTATATACTTTATTCTTTTATAGTAACTGAATATGAACTTTATTGTAATTTTCTATATACTGAATATTTTAAAATAGTATTTCTTTCTAGTCAAGATAAAATTATTTTATTATTTGGGTTTTACCTTTTCATAATGTTTCTCTGGTAGTTCTTCAATGTTGCTCTTTGGGTTTTACCTTTTCATAATGTTTGCTGCTCTGTGGTTGTAGGGGATTGGGGGTCAGTGCAGGTGGACAAGTATGGAGAAAAAGGAACCCTAGTACACTGCTGGTAGGGATGCAGATTGGTACAGCCATAGTGGAAAAACAGTGTGGAGTTTCCTCAGAAAATTAAGAACAGAACTGCCTTTTTGACCCAATAATCCCACTTCTAAAAATATATCCTAAGAATTTCGAGATACCAATGCAAAAGAATGTATGCACTCCTATGGCCATAGCAGCATTATTTACAATAGCCAAGATCTGGAAACAGCCCAAATGCCCATCAGTAGATGAGTAACTAAAAAAACTGTGGTAAATTTCACAACGGAATACTATGTGACCATAGAAAAGAAGAAAATCTTTTGCAATAGGATGGATGGATCTGGACAGTATTATGCTAAGTGACAAACCAGTCAAAGAATGACAAACACCATATGATTTCACTTACATGTGGAAACTCACGAACAAAATAAACAGACAAAATAGAAACAGACTCATAGATATAGAGAACCAACTAACAGCTGTCTGAAGGAATGGGAATTGGTGGGGCTGAGTAGAAAAGGTGATGGGATTAAGCAAATAAAATTAAAAAATCATAGATACTCACAACAGTATGGTGATTACTGGATTGAAAGGGGTGAGGGGAAATAGAAAAGGGTAAAGGTAGAATAAATGTTGATGGAAAGAGACTTAGCTTGAGATATAATACAATATACAGATGATGTATTATAGAATTGTACTCTTGAAATTATATAATTTTATTAACCTATGTCATCCCAAAAAATTCAATAAAAAATTTTAAAAACCACTTACATTTTATTAAAATAAACTGCAGAACATCAAAGGATGTATGCATATATTCTTTTTTCCTCTTTTTTGTTTTACTTATTTTTTCTTTTCTGCATGCATAAAATCTTAAAAGTCAAGTAAAAGCCAACATAATGATTATCATTTCCTAATATTTTTCTCCACCTATTCTGTTCCCTAGATATAATCACTCTTAATACTTTTAGTTTTACTTATATTTGCTATTTCACATTTAGAATTATAGCACTGTCTCGATATATCATTCATTTTCTGTTATGGATAAACAGTTTCTGAATTAAATCAGCAATCATACTTTATAATATTCTACTACTTTAATATTTCTTATGGCTGAGCCACGTAGGTACTATGATTGCTTTTCATTTTTGCTGTATTTTTTTTATGGAATTCATTTTATAGGTTTTTTATAATTATTTTCTTTGTAATAATTACTAATTCAGCTCTTGATTAGTCGGTAATTTTTTACATCGTCAAATTTTTCAGATAATCTTCCAGTTTCACTTTCTTCTAGAGAACTCTCTTTTGGAATTCTGAGGACTTTTGATCCAGTCTTGACTGGTCACTTTCTAAACCTGCCTTCCTTTCTCTTTCATCATGGGAAACCCCTTCGATTTTTTCTTATGTTTGACCTTCTGTTTCCTGGATCTAATTAACCCTTGCTTTTGGATATATGCTCTCATTTTGTTGGAGTCATAAAAGTGAATATAAGATAAAATTTTAAAACTTGTATTTCTAAACAATACCTTTATTTTATTTCTTCACCACTTCAAAAATCATTTTCATTCAGAAATTTGAAGGCTTTTTTTCATTGTCTTTAGTTTTGAGTGGTTTAATTGAAAAGTCTAGTACCATTCTGATCTTGAATCCATTTGTTCTCCACTATAGAGCTTCTTTTCTTTCTTCATATTGCTTTTAAGAAATGTCCTATGCATCAGTATGGGTTTGTTTTTGTGTTTTTTGTTTTTTTTGACTCATTGTGTTGGACACTTGGTGATGATTACTTTCTATCTCGTGATCCTTAATCCTAAGAAAGAAATCTGTGATGTTTCTTGATAATTTAAATCTTTCTTTAGCATACGATTTGGGAGTTCTGGATGTAGTTTCTAATTTTCTTATCTGTCTTATCTAATTGTATATACTTTCTCTTCCATCTGTTTTGGCTCTAATTCCTGGGATGTTACCTACTTTTTAAAAATTATTTTATAGAATTTTTAAAGTTCTATCATGGGATATGGAGCTCTTTATTTACTTTGTAGACTTCTACATAGTACACCTGATGGAGCTTTGTGTCGCTTTCTTTCCCTTTCATGTTCTAAGTATGTTTCTCTAAAGGAAAAATTTCATCTCTTACAGAGCTGGGTCACATGTTTTTTGTTTTTTTGTTTTGGGGTTTGTGGATTTATTTTGATGGATTGGAGTTAACTACCTTATGTGAAGTTACAACCAGTGTCTCTGTTACTCAAGGCTACCTCTACTTACCAAGATAACTGGCACCCCAGTTTGTGAGTTTTTCTGAAAATCTGAGTGTGTTGGCATGCTTCTCAACATTATTCCCCTCCAATGCACTTCAGTTTGAATTTCTGCTGTAATACAAAGCCTGTTCCATCAGCTTAGTCTTTCAAAATTTTATTGGCATCTGTATCCTCTAGTCTCTCCCCTTCCATTTATTTTGTCCTGATGAGTCAATATCACTCCAAGTTTTTAAAAAATATATTTTTATTGGTTCCAAAGAGGAAGGGAAAGGAGAAAGGGATAGAAACATCAATGATGAGAGAGAAGCATTGATCAGCTACATCTTGCACACTCCCTTTTGGGATCGAGCCCGCAACCCAGGCATGTACCTTTGACAGGAATTGAACCGGGACTCTCCGTCCACAGGCTGATGCTCTATCCACTGAACCAAACCAGCTAGA